ATGACACCGTTCTCACCTGCTCCCGGCCGCGCGTAATTAGCGGTTGCACTCGCGATCACGCGTGTATATTGAGTCATGTCGGCCGGCGATTGCGTAATTGCGCCTAAACGCGCCGGTCGCGATGGAGCGAATAAAAAAACGGCCGAATGTGTCGGCCGGGGGGACACGCGCAGATTCGCGACACGGGCGTCTCGCGGTTCGCGGCGATTTGGCGACGGTAAACGCGCGGCTTACGCTAATCCGACCAAGTTTTCGGCGTACGTTTACGTAATTGAAAGACGCGCGAGCGCGGCCGCTGCGGGAAACTGCATCGCGCCGCGACTCCAACATCTCTCGTCCGCGCCTTGAACTTTGACGCTGCGCTCAATATCGTCACTCGCCGCGCGATGCGCGATGCGCGTTGCTACACTCTCGTTTGGCGCTGGAATCTCCGACTTCAGACGCGCGGTCGATTTATTTCGATGAAATCGCCGCGGTCTGCGAATCCCGATCCAGCGTCTTCTTCGAGCGGGCGCGACATAAAAAGCTGCTTACGATGCGCGCCGAACTGGCGATCCTACGCTAGGAAAAATGTATTGTTGCGTGAAGCAAAATTTTGTTGTAACAACAAAATAATTTGGTTCAAGTATGCCCGACAAAACTGTTTAGTTCCTGCAAACAAATATCTTGTTTGATCAACGGTTTGTTCGTGTAACGTAATACTTTTGTTATAGCAACCAAAAAGCTTTGACTAAATGAATTTTGCAAAATATACTGTAATTTTTTTTCTTAATGTATAAAATCTAAATTTTAGTGCACAGAAAGACAAAGCAGTATCCATTGGGCGTTATTTTAGTTTATGTAAAATAATATTTCGTTATTATGTAATTTTTATGGATAAAATAACTAAAATGCTTAATTTTTATATATGAGGTCTAAGAACAAAATCATTTGGTCCAGAGAACAAAGCAGAAAAATATATTTAGTCGAGACAACTGAATATCTCGTTATATAAAACAAGATATTTGGTTGCTACTAAAAAATGCCTCAACTAAACAGTTTTGTTAGAGATACTAAATTCTTTCTCCCAGTGTACGAAAATACTTTCCGGTCCCCTAATGTATGAACCGAAATGCGCGAGAGTGTCATCGAGTATTAACACGCCGCAGCATCGATATGCCTTCTTGATAGCGCGAATTGATAAAACGCCCATGCTGGTTTGGCCGGAAAAGCCCCCGCGGGCGGGGCGGGGCGGGGCGTGAAGTTGACGTCCGTCACCGCGCGATTTGGACATCGTCGTTCGTCATAATCAACGTCGGAACGTTGAAATACAGTTGGGATGAATGATCGGAACCGTAGCCTGAGAGTTCGCTAAATTTCATCGGACTCGCTCCCAGTGAAGTCGAGATTGCGAGAACGATCGTTGTCGATTAGATCGAAAACGCGCGCGCGCGCGACTGCGCGTTATGGCCACATTCGGACGTGTTACACGCCGATACTCGGACACCTGTAGACTCCGATGGTGTTTTGTTTTGCGCGCACACGAGCACGCATTCGAAATCGCTTCCGAAGGAAATCCGCGAGAGCGGCCGCGTAGGCGCGCGCGTCTTCTGCACGACACCTACACGAGCACTCACAGCCGAACACGCTCTCGCGTTGTCGTAAAAGTCGCAGGATGCCCCGTCCTTGTGAGAGAAGAGTCCTCGCCTCTGAACTGAACTTAACGAGCGAAGGAGCGCGGCTCGGCTGTAATAATCGCGAGGCGCTCGCGCTCGAGCCATAAAGGAGCTATTAATAAATTATGAAGTCATTAAACAGCCGCTTGCGCGTATCGTTACTCGTTCGCATTTTCGCGGCGTCTCGTCCGCAGAAGCGAAACGAAAAAGGCACGAGATATTTCGCATCGCACATATGAAAGAAATCGGCGGGCAGTCCCGGCTGATCCGGGACTCCTTCCGTTCAAAACCGCGTGGTAAAAGCGCCATCGCGCGACCACAGCTGCGAGAAGACGGTGCTTTTCGCGCGACGTTTACAACTCAAGGTCGAGCGATAATTTTGCCATTATCGGCAGAAAGCAGATCGCGTAATTTATCGCATTTTCCTCCTCCCGGTTTAATGCCGTTCGCGCTTTCGGCCGTCGTCGTCGTCGCCGTCGTTGTCGTCGCCGCGCTGCGGACTTTCTTCAGCGTTAAAGTCAGATCCGACAAGAAGAATGCCCGCGTATATGGCAGAGAAAAAAGGAAAGGGCGAAATACACCAACGAACCTCCGAGCGCCGATCGATAGCGCGACCTTATAATTCAAGATTAAACGTTGAAACAAATCCCCTCCACCGTGGCGCGATGAGACTGCGACGAAAAGTCATGTTCCAGTAAAAGAGCCTCGAGTAAAATCCCCGGTAATCTCCTTCGACGATACTTCACGCCGCTAATAGTCGTCGTCGCGTCCGACACGATCTCGCGAAGCTTCTTGGAGAGTGTCGAAACACCATCGGCCGCGACCGCTGCGCTTCCTCGCGAAACGATATTCGATCTCGTTCCCGGCTGGCCGGGGATCTCGATCGGCCCGCTCGAAGTGAAAAGTCGACCTTACGCCTGAAATATTCATCATTCGCGTTGCGAGAGGAAAAGAGAGTTGGATATACATTGGCCTTTGGTACCCTAGTCCATAGCCAATATCACGAGGAAGAAGAAGAAGAAGAAGAAGAAGAAGAAGAGATAAATAAATATAGAAGCGTTCATCGCCGCTCAAGGGTCAACCCTCAAGAGCGCTGCGGTAAGAGACTAGAGAGACTCGCATATCCGACAAAAATTATAGCTATTGCGCATGTTTAATTAAACTAAATCAACTTGTAAAATACATCCCCCGTCGCGCTGCGGAGAACATAATTTTCAATTTTAACAAGGAATCGAAATTTTTAATTTATTTAATTTGAATTTCATCAAAATTGAATTGTATTCTTGTATAAAATGTACTTTTGTAAAATTTATTGCATACAAAATTGCAATTTTATCGCGTATAAACAGGGTGGCCGGGATCTTTTGGAGACGAAAAATTATGAAGACTAATCAGATCAAACTGAGAAGAAAAGTCTCATGTTGCATACCATTTTGCAAAAACCGCAATAGTTATTAGTATTTGAAAATGACCACATCCGGAGGCTCTTTTAAATTGATAACTTGAAAATTCGAATAACTTACTTATTTGCAAAATGGTAAAGGACTTTTCCGTTCAGAATGACTTAGTCTACAATCATAATATGGCTATTGTGTCTAGCGATAGATATGAATATATTGAACTTTGAATCCTGAATCTTGAACTTGTCGCTAGGTACAATAGGCCGTCATATAGTTGTAGATTAGGTCATTCTGAGCAGAAAAGTCCTTTATCATTTTGCAAATAAGTACGCAGATTCTCAAGTTATCGGTTAAAAGAGCCTCCAGATGTGGTCATTTTCAATCATTAATAGCTGAATAACTATTGCGATTTGTGCAAGATGATACTTGACTTTTCTTCTCAGTTTCATCAATCTGATCAATCTTCACAATTTTTCGTTTCCGAAAGAACCCGAACATTCTGTATATGAGAAAAAATTTTAGCTATTACATTAGATGAGAGGAGAGAGAGGGAGAGAGGGAGAGAGGGAGGGAGAGGGGGAGAGAGAGAGAGAGAGAGAGAGCGAGAGAGAGAGAGAGAGAGAGAGAGAGACGCGCGCGATGAGATGTGAGGACGAGACGAGCGCAGCGGCAGCGGTGACGAATACTCGCGTCGAAAGCCGTGACGGCGGTGTATTTTTACAGACCGCATGCACGAGGAGCGTGAAGCGCGTTCTCAAGTGTCGATGAGGCGCGTAAGAGCGCAAAGTAGTAGCGAATACTCGCGCTCGCGCGATAATATAGCTAACTCGGCCTGCCGGCTTGCCGTGTGCGTCGATCGATATTGCGAACTCTCGGCGTAATGACAGGCACTCGTAATGCAGGATCACTCACGTCCTTGCAACCTGCAGGATCCTTGCCCCTTGCACGCCGGCGTGTGTTGCGTCAGTCGCAGCAGCAGCAGCAGCAGCAGCAGCCGGTCGCTCGTGCGTCCGTGTGCTTCTTTCTCGGTATTATCGCGCACGAGCGCGATTGCATACGAGTCTACGCTCTCGCGTATATCCCGATCGCATTCGTACACGCGGGTCTTTATTTATCACCGGGATCCGCGACGAGCCCAAGTGAGAGAGACGTGGAACTTTGTGGCGCACGTCGATAAATCATAACGCTACTCGCGGGAATCCTTATTAATTCCGCGGTACGTCTCGCGGCTTAGAAATAAATCCTTATATCTGCGCGAGTTAGCATATTACCGTCGACGTCAATTTTCATCACGTGTTACGGATCTCCAGGAATGTTCATGATCAATTCGATACGATATCGATTGCTGGACGCGCGCGTGCTTATTATGTCGAGGTTTTGCGCAGCGCGAAAATTGGTCAGTTCGAATGGAAACGTTTAATTATGATTATACATTCCGATACAAACAAGGAGGAGCGATCCAGTGACTGACAGCGTCGTCGCCGCGCGTGACACTTCCACGTGTCTCGAATACCCGGGGCAAACGGCGAGGCGGAAAGAATTCTTGCCAATCCCCGGCGATCTCGGCCGCGAGATCGACGCGGAATAATTGATACCGGTTGACAGGCGCGCGCGTGTGCGCACAATCCACAACGCCCAACCTATGATTAGCGATGAATTAGAAGCGCCTGTGGAAACTGCCGACGAATGGCGCGCGCGGTTCACCGTGCGCACTTTCCAGGCCGTTTCCGCCGCCGTTTCACCGTCTGATCGTCAAGTGCGCCAAGTAGGTTACGAGACGATGGAAATGATCTCGATTAATTAAAACATTAGCAGCCGGCCGCTCCGTGCGTGCATGCGCGTTACGCGCCGCGCGCCGCGCTCTAAACTGCCCTCGATAATAGCCGTCGCCCAAGGTGAGAGCCGACTCCACTGAGACGAGTGAATCCGTCATGAATGATTGCAGGTGATGAGCAGTACCGCGGCGCCGGCGGCTCGAGCAGCGGGAGTCCGCCCGCGAGTTTGCTGGTGGTGCCTCAACCCCTCACCGTCAAGCCTTCGCATCCATCGCATCTGAATCCGCATCTCGGTGGGCCTCACTCGCATCCGCCGAGGAAGTACCAGTGCAAGATGTGTCCTCAGGTGAGTCCGAGTTATTCACCGATTCACCGTGCGAATATCGCACGCGTTAACGCGCGGAAGGAGCCTTGCCGGCCGAGTTGGCGAATTTACACCCACGCGTGCTCACTCGTCGACTGCGAGCGCGATTAATTATGTCATTGATAACACCCACGCATCACGCGCGGGAAACGACGCTTTTTCGTCTCGTCGTCGTCGTCGTCGTCGTCGTCGTCGTCGTCGACGTGCCTCGTGAAATATAGACGCTAGATTTGAGAAGCCAACGCGCATTTGTAAGAAACAAGTTGCACCGGCGACGCTCTGTCTTGGCCGTATATTTCTCTTCCCCCTCCCCCCCCCCCCTCTCTCTCTCTCTCTCTCTCTCTCTCTCTTTCTCTCTCTCTCTGTCCTTCTCTTTTTCTCCGTCGCTGTGGGTCTCGTAGCACACGCGTAACAGCAGTCGCAATAATGTCGCAGCTTTGTTTCGCTATTTGGTTGCATGACGGGCCGTGGCCGGTGAAGCTTCCTGAGATTTAGTTGACGGACTATAGATGGTCCCTTAGCGGTTTTCGTTTTTTTCACTCCTCCTCGCATGACAACTATTAGTCCTTTCTCTCGGGTCCTTCTCTCACGAGCGCAAAAAAGTAACTCTTTCTCCTGTCAATCGCGGGTGTCTCACGAAAAGTTAATCTCCGGTCTCGGTCTTCTCTCTCTCTCTCTCTCTCTCTCTCTCTCTCTCTCTCTCTCTCTCTCTCTCTCTCTCTCTCTCTCTCTCTCTCTCTCTCTCTCTCTCTCTCTCTCTCTCTCTCTATCTATCTATCTATCTATCTATCTATCTATCTATCTATCCATCCATCCATCCATTCATCTCTCTCACCTCGCGCTCAGGCAGATTTGTCTGCTTGCGTGTCTGCGTGCTGAGGACAAAACGCCGGGAAGTACCGCTACTTACCAGGTATTTAGGAGCAGTACACACGCACACAAGTCGACGCCACTTGTCGAAGTCACGCGGAGTTATTCGGTTGTTGTCGTTTTTATAAAACACAGCCTATTCACATCTCGGACGAGCGAACATTCTCTTCTCTTTTCTTGTCTCGGTGAAACACGACGGTTGCGTTTCCGCACACGAGTTTCCGCAGGTAAGGAAAGGCTGACGCTTCCCGCTTACATCCCGTCGTTCGCTTCTAAACATGATCTCAGTTTTCGTGTATGCGGCAAAAAACGCTGAAGAGTGATAGGATCGTGCCCCTTTTATTCTCCTTTTTTTCTCTCCTCTCTCTCTCTCTCTCTCTCTCTCTCTCTCTCTCTCTCTCTCCGGCCCATCACGGAAGTATTCGTTCTCTTGATTTTTTTACCCGTCTCTGCGACCCGATCGCGGCGGTAGTGTGAAAAATCGGCTGCTTCTCCGAAGATCTCCCACGAACGCGGCCGGGGTGAAGGCAATACTCGTCGCTAATGTCGCGCATGGAGCGCGACTTTTGCTTGAAATTTAAGAACGGGGAAGACAGGCTGCGTCGCGCGGCACGCGGGATTTTCGCGGTAACGACGAGGTTTCACGATTAAACGCTCGTGAGCAATAGATGCGGGCGCGCCGCCGCGCCGCATCGAACGGCGACGTGAATCTTCTCGTGTTTTCTATTTCCTTTCTTCTTCTTTTTTTCTCTTACTCGAGAACAGCAATTCTCTCGCACGTAGGAGGGTCTTTAGGAAGCGTGTCTCCGTTAATCTCTTTTCTCTTTTGCTCGGGCTAGCATTCTATTGCAACTTGTGTTCTTTCGTTTCGAGCTGTCATTTTTTTGTCGATGTGCTTCGCGCGTTGAAAAAGGCTTTAGCGATCCCACCCCGTCTGTGTGTTGTCGGTTGAAATATAATAGGCAAAATCCTCGCCAAGATGCCAGTGATGCAACAAGAAAGTTATATATGTTCTTGCGACACATCGATGTTACCGTCGTTTACGATCAAAGTACGCGCTAAATACCGCCGATAATTAATACTGTTCATATAGTGCGAGAGAGGATTAAGTGAATAATAAATCATTACCAAGACGAATCCGTGATTTGTGACACTCTCAATCAAAGATCGTGAATGATTTGCGACTGCACGTTCGCGCACCGGCCAGTTTCTCATTAACTCCTTCAAGAGTATCAATTCTCAGCGATATTCCCAACGCCGAAGACAAAAAGAGAGAGATTATGAGGAAAAAAATATTTCTTCTGCTATCTATTTACATATTCACTTTTATTAAATTATGTTTATTAACATTTGCCTGCCTTATATATTATATTCCATCTGCCGAGCTGAGTAAGTTGTATAATTAATACCACGCGTTGACTGGAGCTAAAAACAGAAATTCAATGCGGACGTAACACTGTAATTGATCGAATATTAATTCGGTCTAAAATTAATCCTTCTTAACTCTCACCCTCCACGTGCAAAAAATGACAGCAAGAAACGATTTGCATTAAAACAGAACAATATTCTGTTATATCTCGAGACTTGCAGATTCCATCTGCAGAGCTGAGTAAGTTGTATAATTAATCGCTGACTGGAATTAAAAATAGAAATTCAATGCAGATGAAACACTGAAATTGATGGAATATTAATTCATTCCGGAATTAACTTTTTTATCCTCCCGCTTTATGTGTGTAAAAAATGGCAGCAAAAACGATTTGCATACAGAGTAATGCATACAGAGTAAAAAAAAAACGATTTAAAACAGAGTAATCTCCTATACAATGTTATACTCCGAGATCCTCATTGATCCTCCCAGTCCAACGGCATTTGTAGGATCCGTAGAGCCAAAATTTCGACTCGAAGGCGACTCGTAGCTTACAAAGACACAGAGTCGCGCGCAATGGAGAACATTCTTCTTTCGTAAGCGAAAACTATAAAGAGCGCCTTGGAATTGAATCGAGCAAGGACATTCGCCGTTCGTTCGACCACCCCGTCACAAATTGATGTTATTCGCGAAGCTCGCAAATTTCCTCAACTTCCATCAGGATTCCTCCGGCGCAGAGATACTTAGTTCTCCGAGCGCGATACGCGTCGTTCCATCATTAACATCCATTCGAAAGAAATCTTCGGCCGGGCTCCTGCACCAAAGATGTGAGTATCCTTACGCTGCTGCGACTTTTCGGTGCGGGCAGTACAAGCGTGTAAAACTCGATCTCCGGAAAATTTCTCACCCCCGTCGTCCCGCATGCAGTCCCTCCCGTCGGTCGTCAGTCGGGAATGTCTCAGTCGTGTACGCGGCCGCCGAGGGATTCCCGATGACTGACTCTAATTTCGCAAATTCATTAACGCGCGTCTTTACGAGCCGCTTCGGCTCGACCGTTAAAGGTTTACAGCTTTCCGCGCTTTCCGCGATAATCACCGGCGCGTCGTGGAAAAAAAGGATGCGCGCAAGACGAGGAGGAGAAGCGCTGATCGGCGGGGAGGATAGGAGAGACCGAGAGAAAGAGAGAAAGAATGCAAAGGAGAAAGACGCGCGGCGCACGACATTCCGTAAGGTGGATCGTAAAAATTTTACGATATATTCACCGAATGATTATAGAATAGGGCAAATTATCATACATGGGAGGAGCCGGCGCTCCTTGCGGTCGCGTCAACGAGCGGGTATGCGTGCGTGCGTGCGTGCGTGCGCGGAGGAAGCGGGAGCAAAGAAGCGAGAGCTACGATTAAAACCAGTTATTGCGCGTATATCTGCCACGTTAGATACAATGTGACGCGAAGGGGGCTAATTTGTCGCGGATCGGGAGGCGCGTCGCGCGCGGACGCGGAATTCCGCAATCTCCGGCTATTAGTCGCGGGTCGTGTCTCGATGAAGATTTCCGTCGTCTTCTCTCCCTCGCTGCCCTCCCGTTGATTTATCCTCGCGTGGCTTTCCCACGACGCGGCGCGAGTGACAGAGAGGCGGAAGGACGACGACGACGACGACGACGACGACGATCCGGCCGATAATCGTTAAGACGTCGCGCAGCGATCGGCGCGCTGCGCCGCTCATTAACGCGCGGCGCATGAAATTAGTAAACGGACAGATCTGAGTCCCGCGTTAGACGCGACCGCTTCGTTAGACGTCGTTTCCCCCCGTTAATAGCCGATCGGGGCCGGCTCTTTAATCGGCCGGCTGTCTTATCTCGCCCCGGCCGACGCCGGTTAATATGCCGATAACTCGTGCGCGGCTGTGTGCGTGCGTGCGCGCGCGCGTGTGTGTGTGTGTGTGCGCGCGTGTATGTTACGCGACGTCGACCGATCACTCGTCACTTTCGGTCGTTACTGTTGGCTTTAATATCACAGGACGTACGGGGACGCTTATGACTCACCGGTAATTATAATATTGCTTTTTATCGCCGGCCGAAAGAGAAAGAGAGAGAGAGAGAGAGAGGTGGGGGGGAGAGTGAACCGTTACCGACGTCGTTACGTTGTAAACGTCCGTGGGTCGAGGTACAACGACGACATGGTTCACTTTGTCGCGACGAAAAGCAAAAGCGCACGTTCGCGTTCGGGAGGTTGCGCCTTTCCCGCGCGTGGCTTTTCGTAACGCCGCGGCATTAGCGCGATAGCTCGCGCGAAAATCGAATAAATGTCACGGGGAACTTTTAAATAGCGCCAACGTGGTATATTATATCTCCGCTTCTCCCCGACGAGATTTATCAAACCGCGTACGTAAAGCGCTCACGTCCTCCGCCACGAGGTGGAGGTGGAGGTGGAGGAGGGGAAGCAGGTCTCTCGCAGCTATTACCCAGCACACTAATGCACTTTTATTAACCGAGCAGTGCTTTGTTAAATATTTCGGGATATCGCAGTCGATCTTTTCTCCTCCAGATTTTCCCTCCTCTTCCCCTTCCCCCCTCCTCTCTCTCTCTCTCTCTCTCTCTCTCTCTCTCTCTCTCTCTCTCTCTCTCTCTTATCCTTGTGGAACAATTGCGGAATAACGTCTTCTTTAATTGTCGGCCTTCATGCGCGTCTCCGCAAAAAGCGATTCTCATTTATGACCGCGCAAAAAATGATCGGATCTAAAGATT